TCCGGTCTACCCTCCTAAAGTACTCAAGTCGTCCCTCGCTAGTGTGGGAACCTTGTTAATCGAGCCTGACCCTAAGGTCAGGTCAGGTCAGGACATGACCGTCCATCTCGGCCCTGTGCGAACTGGAAGGTTTTCCCAGCCGTAAAACACGGACCGTCACTAGCCTAGATCAAGCATCAACGGTCAGCCCGTGGTGTCACCTGGTAATTTATGGGCTGTTGGCCACGTTAATAGCCGAGTCCCCCAAGTCTCCAAGTCTGCCACGCCCACAGCGTAATCTAATCCGGTGTGGCCATCAAAACCCCCAGACTCTCACGGCCTATGCTGACCAGTGCATTAACATGCCTAAGCATTTCATTTTAATTACCTGGCCCTCCTCGATGGGACCAAACCCAGGTAAAGTTCACTTGGGGTCGTAACAATATATATATATATATATATATATATATATATATATATATATATATATATATATATATATATATATATATATATATATATATATATATATATACAGAGGCGTATCCAGGTTTTCGTTGTAGGGGGAGCGAAACGAACAAAAAAAGGCGCCGAATTTTTAACACGTTCTATATATATATATATATATATATATATATATATATATATATATATATATATATATATATATATATATATATATATATATATATATATATATATATATAGTATTACTAGCTGTATGTCATTACTTCGCTATGATGTAAAATAAATCGAAAGTAGCACTCTGAAGAAATAAGAAAAAACACACAATGTAGGCCGACAAAACAAAAATTGTATCAAAATAAACAAAAAATAATATATAAATATATTCACACACTACAACCAAATACAATGAACGTACCACAATCTGTTTTGTAATTCTTGTAAAAAAAAAATTTCTTACATAATAATTACTAGGAAATTATTAAGACAAGTGAAATAGGGGAAATAATCACTCTCTTACTATAAATATGTATATATCTACACATTTAATTATAAATGTCACAACAAATAAATAATTACTTTAGAATATAATGAAATTGCTTAACACTATTCGCGTTTACAAAATATTTTTGTCTATAATCAAAATTTAATATATCGTCATCATAAATACTAAAGTATTACAGCATAATAAAAGTTTTTTAAATTCAGAGTTGGTATAAAACCACGCTTTTCATTATAGTAGAAAAACATTCGGAATAACATCCTACATTCAACTAAAAATTGGTCTTTTAGTTCAGATCATACATTTTTAATTAACTACTGCTTCTTTGTGTACTTTAAAGATCATTTTTTAACATAGTGATAGGTATGGTTAGATCACTGTATTGATCACACACCTTTTTACTGGTTATTGCAAAAACAATATTCACAGAGTTTTCGTTTAAAAGCTAATTTTCTGGCGGCATGGTACGTTGGTACATCATTACGCGTTTTTCTACATGTACTTAACAGATCAGTTCGGGGTAGGTTGGGGGGGGGGGGTTCAACTTCATTCACCACTGTCCGTTCACTTAAGGTCAATTATCCAACCCAGCGTATACCTAAGTGTAACATTAATGTCGCTCTACACCAACTCAGAGTGAACATAGCGTCAGTTTTTAGATGACTGTTCTAAACATACATATATATTACACAAATATATATTACACAAATATATATTACAGAAATAGATTTAAATAAGTAGCAGTGGTATTATGACAATATGTTTTTACAGAAGGGTCCATGGGAGAGGGGGGAGGGTTGTAATTGTTTCATATAATTTGTAATCGTAATTACTATCGCCCAAACTGTAAGAATACTACTACTTCATCGTGATGATGTTGTTGACCTTGTCAAAATGTCCCAACCACTACGCAGTTTGCTCAAAAGTAAATTTAAATAGAGGTGCCACATCAGTTGTATTTGTTTCTGTATTGTAATTTTTTTTAAATTAATCACACGATTCAAACTGTATATATAAAGTAATTATGTGTGAAATTTTATGTATAACATTTTCTAATTCAATTATTCGTAAGCAAATACATTATACAGTTGCCTTAAACTTAACACCCCTCTTGCCAAGTGTTACTACCGTAGAGGTTTTTTAAACATTGTAATGCATCGTAATGGTTATTTTTAGAATGGCAAGCTGATGCAGCTGTTAATACGTGTTGTAAACGTAGACACTACTAGACTAGTACAATAATGCTTAATTGTTGCATGAAAAGAAATCTTGTGATTTACATAGATGTGCCGACCAAAAATATGTTTTTAACAAATATCATTGTTTAAAACTTTGAGTTTAAAAAGTTTCCAAAAAGGCGCCACTTTGCTGAAAATGGCCAGAGGGGGAGCGGCCGCTCCCCCTGCTCCCCCCTGCGTACGCTACTGTATATATATCTGTGTGGGAAGGGGGTAGTTAGCTTTAGCAGGACTGTCTGTTGACAGTATGTCATTTGGCATGAGAGCCACTTTATTGACTGCACGCGACACATGAGTTGATTGCACGAGCAGCTCGGCAGAGTGCTCACCAACGAACACGGTGTAGAGAGGGGCGGGTGGCTATTTCATTAGGGTGAAAGTGTGGCCTGCGATTTAACTTATTACCTGCTCGGACGTTTCAAAGTGGTCTAGTGGTCAGTTCCATCAGGTCTAGTGGTCAGTTCAATTAGGTCTAGTGGTCAGTTCAATTAGGTCTAGTGGTCAGTTTTATCAGGTCTAGTGGTCAGTTTTATCAGGTCTAGTGGTCAGTTCAATTAGGTCTAGTGGTCAGTTCCATCAAGTTCCATCAGGTCTAGTGGTCAGTTCCATCAGGTCTAGAGGTCAGTTCCATCAGGTCTAGTGGTTAGTTCCATCAGGTCTAGTGGTCAGTTCCATCAGGTCTAGTGGTCAGTTCCATCAGTTCTAGTGGTCAGTTCCATCAGGTCTAGTGGTCAGTTCCATCAGGTCTAGTGGTTAGTTCCATCAGGTCTATTGGTCAGTTCCATCAGGTTAAGTGGTCAGTTCCATCAGGTCTATTGGTCAGTTCCATCAGGTCTAGTGGTCAGTCCCATCAGGTGTAGTGGTCAGTTCCGTCAGGTCTAGTGGTCAGTTCCATCAGGTCTAGTGGTCAGTCCCATCAGGTCTAGTGGTCAGTTCCATCAGTTCTAGTGGTCAGTTCCATCAAGTTCCATCAGGTCTAGTGGTCAGTTCCGTCAGGTCTAGTGGTCAGTTCCGTCAGGTCTAGTGGTCAGTTCCATCAGGTCTAGTGGTCAGTTCCATCAAGTTCCATCAGGTCTAGTGGTTAGTTACATCAGGTCTATTGGTCAGTTCCATCAGGTCTAGTGGTCAGTCCCATCAGGTCTAGTGGTCAGTTCCGTCAGGTCTAGTGGTCAGTTCCATCAGGTCTAGTGGTCAGTCCCTGCAGGTCTAGTGGTCAGTCCCATCAGGTCTAGTGGTCAGTTCCATCAGGTCTAGTGGTCAGTCCCATCAGGTCTAGTGGTCAGTTCCGTCAGGTCTAGTGGTCAGTCCCATCAGGTCTAGTGGTCAGTTCCGTCAGGTCTAGTGGTCAGTTCCGTCAGGTCTAGTGGTCAGTTCCATCAGGTCTAGTGGTCAGTTCCGTCAGGTCTAGTGGTCAGTTCCATCAGGTCTAGTGGTCAGTCCAATCAGGTCTAGTGGTCAGTTCCGTCAGGTCTAGTGGTCAGTTCCATCAGGTCTAGTGGTCAGTTCTGTCAGATCTAGTGGTCAGTTCCATCAGGTCTAGTGGTCAGTCCCATCAGGTCTAGTGGTCAGTCCCATCAGGTCTAGTGGTCAGTTCCGTCAGGTCTAGTGGTCAGTTCCATCAGGTCTAGTGGTCAGTCCCATCAGGTCTAGTGGTCAGTCCCATCAGGTCTAGTGGTCAGTTCCGTCAGGTCTAGTGGTCAGTTCCATCAGGTCTAGTGGTCAGTTCCATCAGATCTAGTGGTCAGTCCCATCAGGTCTAGTGGTCAGTTCCGTCAGGTCTAGTGGTCAGTTCCATCAGGTCTAGTGGTCAGTCCCATCAGGTCTAGTGGTCAGTTCCGTCAGGTCTAGTGGTCAGTTCCATCAGGTCTAGTGGTCAGTCCCATCAGGTCTAGTGGTCAGTCCCATCAGGTCTAGTGGTCAGTCCCATCAGATCTAGTGGTCAGTTCCATCAAGTTCCATCAGGTCTAGTGGTCAGTTCCATCAGGTCTAGTGGTCAGTCCCATCAGGTCTAGTGGTCAGTCCCATCAGGTCTAGTGGTCAGTTCCATCAGGTCTAGTGGTTAGTTACATCAGGTCTAGTGGTCAGTTCCATCAGGTCTAGTGGTCAGTTCCATCAGGTCTAGTGGTCAGTTCCATCAGGTCTAGTGGTCAGTTCCATCAGGTCTAGTTGTCAGTTCCATCAGGTCTAGTGGTCAGTTCCATCAGGTCTAGTGGTTAGTTCCATCAGGTCTAGTGGTCTGTTCCATCAGATTTAATGTTCCGTAAACCTCTGAAGCATGAGAGTACCTCACGGTCTAATGAGCAACGCGTCGGCAGAATATGAAAGTGTTATTTGGTCAACTCCCCATGGTCGGGGGTAAGGGGGGGGGGATTTATAAAATCAATGTTTCTCTCACAAGTTATAGCCATTACAGAAATTGACCATGTGTTTTTTTTACTTGACTTTCTGACAAGTGGCAGGTGGCGTCTTGCCTTCAAGATTCAACGGGGTGTTTTTTTTTGGCGTCTTGTTTAGTTCCTCAATGTACAGATGACCTTTCCTATTGAAAGACCTTTCCCCTTGAAAGGCCTTTCCCGTTGACAGCCCTTTCCCGTTGAAAGACCTTTCTCGTTGAAAGACCTTTTCCGTTAAAAGCCCTTTCCCGTTGAAAGACCTTTCCCGTTGAAAGACCTTTTCCGTTGAAAAGCCTTCCCGTTGAAAGACCTTTCCTGTTGAAAGATCTTTCCCGTTGAAAGACCTTTCCTGTTGAAAGACCTTTCCCCCTGTTGAAAGACCTTTACCCATGCACTACATCAGACTTTGTTTCTCTTCCCCAGTGATATTTTTGATGCAATGTTTCCTGTCCATCGGCACGCGGGCGAAGTCATTATACAGCAAGGTAAGTGACTCTTTGTTATAGGTGGTGTTAAATGACCCTTTGTTATAGGTGGTGTTAAGGGAGCCTTTGTTATAAAGTGACCCTTAGCTTGTGTCTTAAGAATACTTTTGTTATAAACGTGGGACATTTTTAGTAAACGAATTATAGTAATTACGCTTTAAACGTTCGATTTCATTTTTTAACATAGTTTATGTTAGACAATGTTATATATATATATATATATATATATATATATATATATATATATATATATATATATATATATATATATATATATATATATATATGCGTAAGTATATCAAGATGCCCCATTTCAGGTGACGAGGGAGACAACTTTTACGTCATTGACCAAGGCGAAGTTGACGTAAGTATCTCAGCTTATCTTTGTATCATCAAAGAGTATCTTGTAACCACTTACCTTTTATTGAAACAAAGATACTCGTGTAGTGCAATACACATCTAAAGGCTGTGTGAATCTCCACTCACGTTTATCACCGAGGCTCACGGAGTTTGTATTTTCTGTCCCAGGTCTATGTCAACGGTGTTCACGTGACCAGTATCGGCGAGGGAGGAAGTTTTGGTGAGCTGGCGCTCATCTACGGCACGCCCCGTGCCGCCACGGTCAAGGTCAGTAATCACGTGATAGATTTTCTGTTGGGTGGGGGTTGGAGGGGGAGGGGGGCATTGGTCTTATATGAAGAACCACCGAAAAAAGTGCGATGAGGTCCTTTTGCTGGGGACCCACTGAGAGTTGCTTGAAAAGTACTATAAAAGAGAGACTATCTGGTCTCTGGCAGGGGGGACCCACTCGTTTTGTTTTGAGACCCACTGAGACTCCCTGTAAAAAACATTGGCGTGTAAGTTATAACAATATAAGTACTGTAAAGCTGCCATGTCGGACATTTTTTTTTGTTCCATGCCTGATATTTACAGTTTTGTTTATTTTTCGATACATTTCTCTAGGTTTGTCAATAGATTTCTTATTCCAATTTCTCACTTTACATTTCTGGCTATATTACAAGCAACATGTCTCGGCAAAAAAACGCCCCACCCCCTCCCGCCCCACCCCCCCTCCCGCCCCACACTTTCTAGAATATCACCGCACCTTCAATGCTGAAAGCTTTGTGGTAATCTCAATAATTACTTCTGTTGTGAACATTGAAAAAAAATATTTTCTTCAAAATTTTCTTTCAGCTCAACTTTTCGTGAAAATTTAATTCATCTTTTTCTAGCAAGGTCAAGTTTTATGTTAATTTGTTTGTTGTCGACAGTTTCACTGCAGGTCCGTCAAAGAAACCTTTTAAAAAAAGTTGCTATATGGAAAACACCTCGCTTGTTTGAAAGAATTTGTCTCCCTTTCAAGTTGTCTTATTTTCTTTGTAAGAAATGGGGGGGGGGGGGGGGTGGTTGTGAAGACATTGAAGGGCCCGTGAGTGAGTGTAATTTTATGAAGGTGAGTACAGTTTGGAGGGAGGGGGGTGGGCGTATTTTACAGGAAGGTGGGCGCCCACATCATCTGACGTGTAGTTGAATTCCGCCTTGGTTCGAGTTTATGTGACCAAATTTTTAGGGTGATAGAAAACACAACATCCCCCCCCCCCCCCCCACACTCTGTTCACCATTGTGGTGTGAACCCAACCCAACCCCTGTCCTGGTATGAAGCCTACTGCAAGCCCTATCCGCCTTACTTGAGTGAAGCCCACGAAATAACGAGTAAAGTACACCGTTATCAAGTTTCATGGTCTTTGAAATCTATTTTTGTTTTAACCGAGAGATAGTAATTCACTGCCCTTATTATTTTTAATAATATGTAGATTTAGCTGTTACTAGCAAACTTTTTAAAGAGGACTATGGTGCTATAAAATATGGAATATGTTGCGAGTATTTATGTGTTACTGTGTCAGAGGGTTCAAGATGTAATGTAATAAATCAAAAATGGAAAAAAAAAAGTAATTTCCTTACGCTCCCAGCGAATGTGAAATGAATCGTCTTCTGTTACTGCCGCGCAGATTAAAATCAATGCATTTCCTTTTTTCTTTTTTAGACATGAACATTTTTAAATTCGTTATCTGTTTTTTTTTTTTTTTTTTTTGCCGCTTTTCAACTGATTACAATTTGATATTTGTTACATGTTAATTTTATCACCAAAAGATTGACAATTTGAGAACATTATAATTAGTGATCACAATGACCTTTTACACCAGAAAATGGGTGTGGTGGGTCGCCATACGGGGTAGGACAAAATGTTTTAAATGCTAATTTCTAGCTGTGTTGATTTCTTCTTTATTCCTTTAAATTACTTGCAGTAACTCGGGGCCGCCTTCAAGACTCTCAACTCACACAGTCTCCTGATAACTTCTCTCAACCCCGTTTGAGTTTCGCCTGATTGTTGTCTAGTTTCTCTAGAAGTGTTCCTACATACTTTACTTCGTCTCAGCATTTGTTGCTGATTTTACAATTATTTTTTGCATTGGGGCGCATCTACCAGATAATTTTAGATTTCGAATATTTCGTGTTCTCAAACTGATTAAAACCTTTTTGGATAAGGAAAACGGTTTTTTTTTAGATATGTTTGAGTAGAGTAGTCGGCCTTGCTGGATTCTTTTGACTTTCCATGCACAGCTTCGTTTATCACCTTTGTGGAACACTTTTCTCGCCTCTGATTATGTTTTTTTGTTTCGCTTATTCTTCTATTTCTGTGACAGTAATTTTTTTTCCCCCGCGGGCATGTTGTAAGCCCATCCCAAAAATCTATTATTATTATAATTAGTTCTGCTATGGAGATGGATAGTGAAGCCTGTGAGGTTATAGTTATATTTAAAAAATACAACACATTTTCTCACCCAGTCGTCTATATTTACTATTGTAGCGTTATGCCCTTCGACCCGCGAATAGATAACTAATCGATAGTTACCACTGCGCAGAAGGATGTTTACTCAGCGACTGGGAGGCAGGGGGGGGGGGGGGAAGAGGGGAGACCCTATCCCTTGGCTAACATTAAAGACGCTGACAAAGCGAGCACTTTTCCCTTGACCCACGGAGATTCACTCCCCTCCCTGAGCTAATGTGAAACGCCTCCCATAATTTGCGCGTCCAGCGTTTAGCGGACCCCTCAGGTCATTCATCAGCCCGTCCAGCGTCTTATGCCGCACGTCCAGCGTCTTATGCCGCCCGTCCAGCGGTCCGATGCCGCACGTCCATCAGCTGATGCCGTCTGTCAGATTGGGAAATTTGATGAGACTGTTGGAAATAGATTTGAAATAGATTTCCTTCCGTAATTTTTTTTGTCGTGCTATCGTTGCTGGAACCCCGGATATGTAAACAGCTCCCTGCTACTTTTGTCGACTTTGAGAAAAATTTTCCGACACCCGAAATATATTTCTGTTCTGTTTCTTGTTTTGACGAAATTAGGATTGTATAAGGAAACAGATATTACGGCGCGATAAAGACTAGTATACACTAACAGAGGGGTTTGTAAAACCTAAACACATTGCTTAAATCAGCCCTAAATGATACCTGTCTTAGTCTAGTAAAAAAATCGGTTCTGTATTTTCCGTGTTTGGGCGCACATAGATCCATGAAAAATTGTATCAGATAAAATACCTCAAGGACAAAAATCTCCAAAGATAAGAGATAAATAAAATAAAAAAATAGGCACATTATCTCAAGAAAAACTTTTTGTATGGAAACCAAAAAGAGTTAATGAATTAAAAATAATGAATACACATTTAAATATGTTTCTTACAATAAGATTGGAATTTAAAGAAAAACTGCACTGCAGATGAAACAAACTGGTTTAAGAATATAACATGTAAAAGATAATTTTCCCAACATCAACTTTTACCGTAGGTAAAAAACATGAGCGTCTTTTGAGAAAACATAACTATATCAAGACTCCGACCTCTCCCCAGGGAATGTGCTAGTGTTACTTTTTAACAGCTGTTTTAAAATGCAATGTGCACTAGCATTTGCTTTTAATATTTTACTTTTCAGAGCACGGTATTAAAACACATATTTTCCACGACCAAACGGGTTATAGATTGGCATTGAATAATGATTGAACTCGTCGATAGATCGATAGTGAACTTAAAAAACTCGCGACACCTTTGTGTGGTGTGGTGGACGGGCTATTAAAATCTCATCGTTCTGGCCGCTCACTGCATCGTCTTTAGTGCAAGTGACGTCTGGGTGTTGACGTCATGATAGATCTGTGCCCTCGTCACATCCGGTTTCGTTTTAATCTGACACGTGGCTTCGTTATGTCATCGTTATAGAAACATTAAACCAGCGTGGAATCTGTTTTAGATCAACTTCATGGTTTTCTAGAAAAATGCGCTATCTGAAAACTGCGCAACGTAAAATTATGCAAACAGAAAAATGCGCAAAAACAAACTAATTATATTAATTATACGAATGCGCTTTAATTTCGTCTAATTTTGAATTTTTAAAATTATGCTACAATGTACATGTGGTCACTCTTTGTTAATGTCTATAAATGCTCAATTTTTTTAAAAATGCGCTTACGCACTTATGTGTGCGCAGTTTTTCGTTGCGCATCCTTCCGGTCACCCAATTTCATACAATGTAATATCAATTTTATATCAACTTATAACTGGGATGGCGTGTTTGGATGATAGTAGACCTTACGACTTTTAACCCGAAAGTCTCGTTTGGATCCGGTGCTTGTGCCCCTGAGTTCACCCAGCTCTGAAGTGTACCTGAATTACGTTGGGGAAAGTAAAGGCGGCTGGGCATATCTCTTCATGTCCTGTTTTCACGGAAATAGATGAACTTCTTCATCTACCCCATGGACCACTGGGTTAAAAAAGAGTAATTTGATATGTTTTACATCAGCATTATATTGGTGCTATAAAACAACCGTTTATCTGATTTGTAACGTTATATTTGATTTCGTTGTTTGATGCATAAGTATTATGATTGGATAGAGAACCGAAGACAATCACATGAAGAAAAGAACAAAATCCTTTGTTATCACAGCGTCTTGTTGAGAGGGATGGGGTCGGGGTTAGGGGTCGGGGTGAAAGAAGCTGCGACATTTGTGAACTTTCAGAGATTAACAACAAAAAAAAAATCGTGTGAGCGGATGTGATTCAGATGTGTGGTTGGTGTGTGGTTGGTGTGTGGTTGGTGTGTGGTTGGTGTGTGGTTGGTGTGTGGTTGGTGTGTGGTTGGTGTGTGCTTGGTGTGTGGTTGATGTGTGGTTGGTGTGTGGTTGGTGTGTGGTTGATGTGTGGTTGATGTGTGGTTGATGTGTGGTCGGTGTGTGGTTGATGTGTGTAGTTGATTTTGTTTTTCTTTGATGAAGGGAAAACAGCTCTTAATATGTGTAATGTTCCTTGGCTGTTGAAGAAGGTAAATCATTTTAAAAGTGGCGGTGTTGTCTGTTATAACTTTCACATTGTTGTTTGGTGTTGCAGGCGAAAAACGATGTCAAACTGTGGGGTATTGACAGAGACAGTTACAGGAGAATTTTGATGGTAAGTGCTTTATGGTAGTCCAATAAAGTGGTAAATGATTTATGGCGGTAAACGGTTTACAGTCAGTAAAGTATGTATTGTAAGTTGTTTTTGTGCGGTAAGTGGTTTTTTTAAATGGTAAGTTTTTTGGTCATAAGGGTTTCTTCTGCAGTAAGTGGTTTTTGTGTGGTGTTTTTTTTTGGTGATAAGTGGTTTTTGAGCAGTAATTGGTTTTTGGGTGGTAAATGGTTTTTGGGTGGTAAATGGTTTATATAATGTATGCTGTATGTGTACTAGATGTATAGTTTTACTAAATCTGTAGTTCTACTAGATGTGTATGACTTTTGTTTATATGATACATATGTATAGTTCTATTATATGTGTATGACTATTGTTTATATGATACATATGTATAGTTCTATTATATGTGTATGACTATTGTTTATATGATACATATGTATAGTTCTATTATATGTGTATGACTATTGTTTATATGATACATATGTATAGTTCTATTATATGTGTATGACTATTGTTTATATGATACATATGTATAGTTCTATTATATGTGTATGACTATTGTTTATATGATACATATGTATAGTTCTATTATATGTGTATGACTATTGTTTATGTGATACATATGTTATCAGGTGACCCTCTAGGCACATTATAAAAGTTTTCTAAGTAAAGTTTGTATGTCTTTTCAGGGCAGCACCATAAGAAAGAGGAAAATCTACGAGGACTTCCTTAGCAAGGTCTCCATCCTAGGTGAGAAGATGGGGAGTTTGTATTGGTCTAGATAAGAATCTTCATTGGTCTAGTGAATTAGTATTGGTCTAGAGAGTTAGGATCGGTGTAGTGAATTATGACTGGTCATGAGTTAGAATTAGTCTATAAGGTTAGATGTCCCATGGATTATGTAACCAACATATGATATCATTCAGCTTATAGACTCAATTGTGAACGTTGTGTTTTTTTCCCCAAAACATTTGAGATCACTTGAACAAATATAGTTAAACCAGTAACATTCTTTAGTAACTTAATAACATGCTCATACATAAACGATTATTTTGAACTACTAAGAATCAACCCATGGATGAAACAGATGTGTTAGTTCATGGAATCAACAAACTAGTCTGTATGCTAAGCTAATTAGCATAGCTACATGTTAAAGCTACTTACATTTGTGTGTGTTTGAGTGAATTTAAAAGTTTGACCATATGTTAAAGCTACTTACATTTGTGTGTGTTTGAGTGAATTTAAAAGTTTGACCATATGTTAAAGCTACTTACATTTGTGTGTGTTTGAGTGAATTTAAAAGTTTGACCATATGTTAAAGCTTCATACATTTGTGTGTTATGATTGGATTTAAAAGTTTGACCATATGTTAAAGCTTCATACATTTGTATGGGATTTTGAAATTTTGAACTTTGACCTTTTCTTGTGATCAGAAAACCTGGACAAGTGGGAACGTTTGACTGTGGCTGATGCTCTGGAACCTGTCCAGTTTGAGGACAAGGAGGAGATTGTCAGACAAGGGGAGCCAGGGGAGGATTTCTTTATCATACTAGAGGTTTGTTTGTTTGTTTGTCTGTGGACTTGTGGTCTGTCTGTGAATGTGTGTTTGTGGTCTGTGTGTTTGTGGTCTGAGTGTTTGTGGTCTGTGTGTTTGTGGTTTGTGTGATTAGTGGTCTGTGTGTGTGGTCTGTGTGTTTGTGGTTTGCAGTCTGTATATTTGTGGTCTATATTTGAGTTTGTGGTCTGTGTGTGTGTGTGTTTGTGGTCTGAGTGTTCTTGGTCTGCATGCTTGTGGTCTATCTATGGGTGTGGGGTCTGTGTGTTTGTGGTCTGTGTGTTCATGGTCTGTGTGTTTGTAGACTGTGTGTGTGGTGTGTGCGTGTGGTCTGTGTGTGTGTTTGTGGTGTGTGTGGTCTGTCTACTACAGTCATGTGTCCATATAACTGACGTACACAAGATCACATATGACTTGATACCACCCTGATACATTCATGACTTGATACTACCCTGATACATTCATGACTTGATACCACCCTGATACATTCATGACTTGATACCACCCTGATACATTCATGACTTGATACCACCCTGATACATTCATGACTTGATACCACCCTGATACATTCATGACTTGATACCACCCTGATACATTCATGACTTGATACCACCCTGATACATTCATGACTTGATACCACCCTGATACATTCATGACTTGATACCACCCTGATACATTCATGACTTGATACCACCCTGATACATTCATGACTTGATACCACCCTGATACATTCATGACTTGATACCACCCTGATACATTCATGACTTGATACCACCCTGATACATTCATGACTTGATACCACCCTGATACATTCATGACTTGATACCACCCTGATACATTCATGACTTGATACCACCCTGATACATTCATGACTTGATACCACCCTGATACATTCATGACTTGATACCACCCTGATACATTCATGACTTGATACCACCCTGATACATTCATGACTTGATACCACCCTGATACATTCATGACTTGATACCACCCTGATACATTCATGACTTGATACCACCCTGATACATTCATGACTTGATACCACCCTGATACATTCATGACTTGATACCACCCTGATACATTCATGACTTGATACCACCCTGATACATTCATGACTTGATACCACCCTGATACATTCATGACTTGATACCACCCTGATACATTCATGACTTGATACCACCCTGATACATTTATGACTTGATACCACCCTGATACATTCATGACTTGATACCACCCTGATACATTCATGACTTGATACCACCCTGATACATTCATGACTTGATACCACCCTGATACATTCATGACTTGATACCACCCTGATACATTCATGACTTGATACCACCCTGATACATTCATGACTTGATACCACCCTGATACAGTCATGACTTGATACCACCCTGATACATTCATGACTTGATACCACCCTGATACATTCATGACTTGATACCACCCTGATACATTCATGACTCGATACCACCCTGATACATTCATGACTTGATACCACCCTGATACATTCATGACTTGATACCACCCTGATACAATCATGACTTGATACCACCCTGATACATTCATGACTTGATACCACCCTGATACAATCATGACTTGATACCACCCTGATACATTCATGACTTGATACCACCCTGATACATTCATGACTTGATACCACCCTGATACATTCATGACTTGATACCACCCTGATACAATCATGACTTGATACCACCCTGATACATTCATGACTTGATACCACCCTGATACAATCATGACTTGATACCACCCTGATACATTCATGACTTGATACCACCCTGATACATTCATGACTTGATACCACCCTCATACATTCATGACTTGATACCACCCTGATACATTCATGACTTGACCCCCAGGGTTCAGCCGCTGTCCTGCAGCGAAGGTCAGAGAACGAAGAACCCGTGGAGGTCGGTCGTCTGGGACCCTCAGATTATTTTGGTGAGTTGAACAATGTTATCCCCATCACTGGCACCTAAAGGGTTAATGATTTGTTTGTTTGAATCAGGCTGTTCAGGATTTTTCTAAATTGTTTAATTAACCCTTTAGGTATTGAGCTAAATGAGCAGAGTTAAGTTATTTGTTGATCTTTGAAATAGTGTGGTAGTTCTGTTTCTTTGACCTCGGTATATGATAATGTGGTCAGCACTATGCCCAGCTGCCTTTACTTTCTTTAGCATACATTATCTATCAGAACTGGGTGGACTCAAAGAGGTTCCACTGACATGTACCCAGATTCGAACTTTCGAGTTCGCAGTCTATTGCTCTACTACTAGGCCATGCCATCCCACCCCAGATTACTTAAAGTAAAACATTAACAGAATCAAGTATTATACATTGTTTTATAAAACTGATGAGGGATACAAAAATATAATAATATAATATAACTAAACATCTGTTCTGTCCTCTACCTGGATGTAACTGAACACCTGTCTTCTAACTACCTGGATGTAATTGAACACCTGTCCTGTCCTCTAACTACCTGGATGTAACTGAACGCCTCTTCTGTCTTCTAACTTCCTGGATGTAACTAAACACCTGTCCTCTAACATCCTGTATGTAACTGAACACCTGTCCTGTCTTGCAGGTGAAATCGCGCTGCTGTTGGACCGCCCCAGGGCTGCAACTGTCGTGTCGCGGGGTCCCCTGAAATGTGTCAAACTTGACCGCGCCAGGTTCGAGCGTGTGCTGGGGCCGTGCGGTGACATCCTGAAGCGCAACATCTCCCAGTACAACAGCTTCGTGTCGCTGTCAGTCTAAGGGAGGTCACGGTGACCTGTCAGTCTGAAAGGTCATGGCGACCTGTCAACAGTCAGTCTGAAAGGTCATGGTGATCTGTCAGTCTGAAAGGTCATGATGACCTGTCAACTGTCAGTCTGAAGGTCACAGCAACCTGTCAGTCTGAAAAGGTCATGATGACCTGTCAGCTTTCAGTCTGAGAGGTCACAGTGACATATCAGTCTATGGCAGGTCACTGGCTAGAACTTTGTCCTTGTCTCCCGTCAGCCATTTTGATGAACACAACATAGCTCAACAAGATGGCCGCTCATGTCTCCATCATAGTAGAATGCAATCTTTTCATTGTTATGTTTTAATGGTTTGCACGTCTGGTCCTTAATTAATGTTGAATTTATAAATAATTAATTATCATGCAAGGTTGTTTTTGTATTTTATAAAGTTCTATAGTTGTGTTAGTTGGCTGTGAAAAGTCTGAACTTACACATGTAGAAATTTTAAAAAAAGTTTCTTTTTTGATTGTCAACTAACTGAAATTAATTTAAAAAAATATCTTATTTAATTTTAAAATGCTAATTTCCGTTTGTAAGATGTTTCTATATTTGAAGTGTTGAAATTAGTTGCTTCATATTTTCAGCTACTAAACAAATGAGTTAAGTCCCTTTTTTTTAAATCATAAAAAAAAAGTTTAAAAAAAAAACAAGCTAAAAATAGCTGACCTACTTATCATGAGTTGTTGTTTCTAGTGATTGCTCTTGTGCCATGGCAATGACATGATGTGTGTAGAGAATTTGTGCTGGGGTATGGACCCAGGTTAGACCACCCATTTTTAACCTCATTGTTATTCATTTTACAGTACAGATGAGAATTGTATGGGTTACTGCCCTTTGTTTCATTTTTTTTTGTGTTAATCTGACATTTTAAGCATGTTTTTTTTTTGTTACTGTTTTTTTTAAAGTCTGATTATGTAGATTAATGAACTGTGTAGATTTATAAATTATTTTGTTCAACAATGTATAAAAATGCATCAGGTGTCATTTTAAATTATTTTGTGTGATTTTTGTTTTACCCAGAAGCAATAATTCGTCGTACCACAGCTCGTAAACCAGATGTGATTGTCAGGTTTTGTCAGTCAGTTATGAACAGGAATTTAGTCAGGCTTTATCTTAAATATGACTTTGTCAATATATATATATATATACATATATATTTATGACTTTGTCAGGGTTTATCATAGCTTTGAACAATTTGTTTTTGCCAAACATTAATTCCACCTGGATACGAGTTAAGTTCCAAGCTTTGTACTGGTTAATTTTTTAGTCAAATCAACCACAAGATATTTTAATTAAGAAAAAAAAAATTCAGCTTTTATGAAATAAGAAAACAAAAATGTATCAAATATTAGTACAGTATTTAAAGGAAAAAACTTTAGGTTAGCCGTTACATGATTGATAGCCTACATGGTGTGTGTAGATGTTGAGTTTTCATTACTGCAGGAATGTGATCAATCTTCCAGGCTATGTTCATACTTAAACCATTTGGTTTTGAGGTTATCTCTTGTCCATTTCAAGGTCTACACCTCAGTGCTACTAAATGACTGTTTTTTTTTCCTTTTAATTAAATTAAACAAACATGAAGTAAAGTTCCCCTTCCAAACCTGACGGTCTATGGGGCAAGTGAAGTAGAGTTCACCTGTCTCTGTGACCAAACATGAACAAACATATACCTAGGCTATTTTCAATATTTTCCCCCGTTCACCCATTACTAACTTTTAGATAATAAAATTGTTTAACACCCTTTGCCCCAATGTACCATTAGATGTCATAGTTTCTCTATGATAAGAACCTACTCAGGTTTAGCTGATGTGTACCCTCTTCTCTGTCGTCTCAAGTCCAATTACTTAACAATCAAGCAGATCTCTAACATTACTCAATTGTATTTGTCATTAGCTCAACTCCTAATTGCTCTAATTAATTATTTCACCGATCATATCTATCTAGTCATTTATTTCCTCCTATAAGAATTTGATTTCAATTAATTTGTGTTTTGTTTACTATATGAATCATCCACATTTTACTATCAAGGTTGTGTTTTAACCCTATTTCACCAAATATTTAAAAATAATCAAATTAATCTCCAACTCTACTTTTCTTCCAATTTAAGAACTATTTCAATTGTTTCCTATGCCCAACATGAGAATTAGTTAAATGTTATTGTACTAATAAAACTTAAATAGTTTGTAACTATTAAGTTACAATAAAGTCCCACGTGGAAGAAAGAGGGTTAAAATAAAATGTATAGATGTCTGTACCATTTAAATAACATCATGACATCAAATTTCAGATGGCACATTTTTAAAAATTAAATACTAAAAAATGACTGTGCATGTAAATAACATTTTCCAAAAATATTTTTTTTATAGCATTACTAGCAATTATTTTTTTTGTGTGTGGTAAATTTAGTGGTGTGATTGTAAGTGGAATTTAGTGGTGATAACATTTCTTGTATTCTAACTGTTAGCTGTGTTCATAGATTCTGGCTAATGTTATCTTCTGATGTCATGTTCTGTGATGGTCTATTGTTATCTCCCTTACAATGTAAACTTTACACAGGATATTGCAAGAAAGATAACCTATGTGTATTGCCAAGTCCTTGATTAAGCAAATATTATAGAGTAAAAAAACCATTATTTATTAAGTTAGTTTAAAACTATTTGTTGGAACTTATAGTAGGAGTTTTAAAACTCAAAAATTGAATTTATAATTCCAATAAGCACTATTTGTTCTGTAAAAAATAATTCCATTTTCATTAATTATTATTAATTTATACTTCCAATCAGTGCTTATTATTCTGTAAAGTAATAACATATTCAGATCTTGAAATAACCAGTTATGGCAAGTTATGTACCGAATGTGACAAAATCTTCTGATACTGATTGTGGTTAATATTTTTGTGCTAAAGCTTGTTCTTACAATCAAACATGTCTTGATCTGTTTGATTAATTTCTTTCTGGATGAGCCAATAAATGTACCCTACCGAGTGTATGTTTAAAAAAAATGGGTTAATTCAGACAAAAAAAATATTGGAATCTAGTACTTTTTAGAAGAAAAAAAAAGTTTTAAGCACATTTTTATTTGATTTGTACAGGTGATTTAAAGGTGGTAATTTCCAGGTTCTTTAAGGTAAAGTGGAAATACTTGAGTGCTAGTGGTATTTTTAAGGTAATAGTGATGTACTCATGAAGTAAGAGAGAGGTACCGCTGAGGTATTTGTCTATTTTTGTAACTGTTGACTATGAAGATTTTTAAATGTTCACAATGACTGATAATTCTGTTAAGATGTAGTTCAGATCTATTGGTTTTTTTTTTTATTTGTCCAACTCTATGCTAATTAAGTTGTGATAAATGGAGGTCTATGCCTGTAATTAACTTGTTTTAAAACAAAAAAATTGTCAAGGTAACTACTTTAAACATTTATTTTTTAATTATTTTTGTGTAGCCATTACACACAGGATTGTCTATTAACAACATGGTCAGAAGTCCAAATATGAATTATTTTATTTTGGTTGTTTTGTCCCCCGACTAATTAAAGGTTTCTGGAAAATTTCTGTTCCCATTAAGTTGAAATTAATAATAAAAAAAAAATCAGAGGCAGTTGTCTTCTCCTGCTGCCAGTATTGTCAGTGTTGCTTCCCTTTGTTAGTTGGGCTAAGGGTGTGTGTAGAATTTGTTTAGAAATACCCTGTGATTTTGGTTGTCTTTCAAGAAAATTAGGGGGTAAAAAAAAATATTTCTGTTCTGGATATCACAGACTATGTGTTGGGGTAGGTTGTTCTGGTGGGTTTTTTTTTCTTGTGGGGGGGGGGGGGGGTGTCTGGGTTTTTCTTCTAGTCTGGTGGGGGGGCTGGATTTTTCTTCTGGTCTGGGGGGGGGGGGGGGGCTCCTTGGTGTCTCTGGTTGGTTTGGTACCCACAGCTTCTAGAACGATGTGTTCTGTCCTCAGCCCCTACACCATTTGGGTCCCCAACAGAGAAACTATTTCACTACTACTTAAACAACACTTAGGGGAAGAAGAAATAAAAAAAATCTTGTTTTTGTACCTCCCATGTGTCTGATTAATGATTGCCCCTCCTAACAGTAAAACCACTAAATCAAAGTTTAGAAAATGGATTAGAGATGTTTTTTTTTTTTTATGTCATCTTGTGAAACCACTTGATTATTGATTGTGACATGTATGTATGAGTGCCTAGTAGAGATTCAGGCAAATCATATTCTACTCTATGACTATTAATAAAGTGATACATTGATTCAAACTTGGGAGTTGGCTTTTTATGTGTTAAGATGTGTTTGCGTAGTTTTGGTTGTGTAGGGTTGTGGCTGTGTGGAGTTGCAGTTAGTTGAGTTGTGGTTGTGTTAAGTGATGCATGTATTGAAGGTAACTTCAACAGATTTATTAGAGAAAATTGCTGGTTTGTTATGTTTTTATGAAATGGGGAGGGGGGGGGGGGGTATTGGGGAGATGTTTTTTTTTACTGCGTTCTGTGGCATTCTCTGGAAGTGTTGAGGGGGGGGGGGTGCATGGCAGATTAAAAAAAAACAACACAACTTTTCAAAAGAACAATGTTAAAGATTTAAAAAACAAAAACCCAGCAAAACCAAATACACACTGATGCTGGTATCTAGAAAATTTGCATGAGTTGCCTACAAAAAAAAAAAAAGACAGGAAATAAAATGATACCAGAACAACAAATAATGAGTTTGTTAAATAAAACCTTTCTGACACTGAGTAGGCTACAGCTACCTGTATCAGACGATTAAACAAAGGTTGATAGTGATCTATACAAAACATTTGGCATACACATTTAAAAATAATGAAAACTTTATTGAAATTATAAAATCTTTACATTTTCTTTTTACTTTTAGAACAAAACAAATCTCCATTTTACAACACTTAACACTTTGTGACAACTACTACCAATATTATAATGCATTATGCAATTTTAATATCAACTTGAGGAAGAGATGTAGATTAATAAAAAAAAAATCAGTTGAATATATTGAATTGATTCCCAAAAGTTTGACCTGTGACCCCGGGTAGAAAAAACAAGATGATGTGGTAGATGACGAAAATGATGATGGCGTTGACCAGGTAGTAGACCAGGGTCGACGATTGGTGACCCTTGACCCGCCCCAGTTTCCGGTAGTACGCCACCACCCCCGAGAGGTCGTTCTGGACGGTGGGGCTGTAGCCGAAGTCCCGGGCCGCGCTAGCCACACTGAAGTAGTGGGTCACCCCCGTCTTGTACACCTGCAGGGGGAGACAACAACCGAGTTTTACCTGGGGTTACGGCACTTGTTTCACACTCCGGTATAGGGCTGGTAGGTAGGTAACCAACCAGTTCTACGGCTCAATAAAACCTGCATGAGCCACAGAAGTGTTTATTGACCTACTTACCAGCCCTATTGAGACACCTCAAACTGATTTAAAAAAAATAAAATAGTGCTAGCTTTGAAAGGTTACAGATATATCATTAAACGCCCAATATGCTCACACGCAACACAAACATTTCTACAGTGCCGGCGCCAGGTTATTTAGCGCTCCAGGCAAAACTTATTAAAACGCCCCCTTTCACATAAATTAATTTCTAAAACATATGTATAAGAAAACAGTTAATTAAAAGTGACATATTAATTTATTATCAATTGCATACACGTTATAAGTGGACATCAAAATCAAATTTTAATTGCATCCTTCGTCTCAAAAGTTTGTACTAATTCCTTCAGTTCCTGTTTGCAAGCGTAATCACATTCTATTGAAATTGTTGCTAAGCGCACGAGTCTACTTTGTACTTTACGACATAGCCCCCCTCCCTCCCTCCAAAACGGAACTTACCTGTTTTAAGTTTGACCGTCTTTAGTTATAATTGTAAAATGTCTATATTGTCTGATTATGTAACGATTTTTGGTTTTTGAAAAATAAAAGGTAACAAAAAAATATAGGTTCCAGCTCAAAATTGTTATTTATAAATCCTTTAGAAAAGGGTGAAAAATATGAAAAGACAATTAATTATGTGTTTAATTTACGAATAAGTCTGTATGTCTACTAACAATAACATTAACTTATAAGTATTGCAATCTATAACGGCTACTGATGTATTTGTTTTTCAACTTGATAATGCTAAAAAACCCACAAAACTATATAATTTTTACAATAGCCAATAATAACTTAATGTTGTATATATATTATGTAAGCAGTCAACTTAAGGTGCAGGAATTTAAAATAAATGTAAAGTTAAGCAACGAATTATCTCCCATTTGAAAATCCAAATACCAAAATTTCTTTCAAGGGAAATAACTTTCACAAGTATAGCTAATTTATCCAAGTGTAACTAAGACATGCTTGAAAAACACAATAAAACGCTCTAAATTTCATTGTTTAATACATATAACACAACGTTTATTTTAGCCATGTAACCCTGTAAAAACAATATATTTTACCTATTGAATACTTAACTGTAGGTTTTGTTTGAAAGTCTTAAAACGGTAGCTATATTATAACATACTTTTATTCAATTTCGATGACATACCTTTTTCAATCTAGTCGTTCTAAAGCGTCGTCTAAATATTTTGGATCCCCTAAATAAGGGGACGCCTTCCTTAATATTAAAACACGGGTGACACTTTTAGACATTGCTAGAACTATTGATTGAATAAAGAAATTATCATTTGAAAAAACATAGTCTACGGTAAGTTATAAATTCCATCTTATTTAATATTATATATTAATACTTTAAGAGTGGTAATATAGATTCCTAAGAAATAAATATTTTTCAACTAGAGAACGCCTACCTATCTTTGTAGTGTATTCCGTACTGAAGTAAAATCATCTAACTTATGATTAAATCGACTACTCTACGATATACTCTACTACATTCACAACACTTATCAAACTTCGATACCTAAACATAAGTAGACTCGATGCTCCAGAACTACGACACGAACTCGTTTAACTTCACCAAGCTCTACAAACGGTACTCCAATTAACAACAATTTCACTGGACCTACTAATACACTTTAACAGTCAATATAATTCGATACCTTAATACCACAATAATCGATACTCCCGAACTCCAGGACTACGATACCTAATCACCTACATTCTCATTTCTCTATTACCAATCAGATTGCACTAGACCTTCAACTACACAACAGCCAAATTAAAATACGATACTTTAACACTTCGATACTTTATTATACCTACGAAACCATATCATCAACAGCCTTCCGCCGCTACTCCCAAATCTAAACGATTCATCAAAACTTACCAAACAAGTACAATACTTTGAACACCGCGTCATTACAAAACTCTATACACCAGGGCAAATTTCCAATTCAAAGTCAGAGAAAACGAGACTTACAAGCCCTATTAAAATTAGATAACCGTTCGAAATGTTCGAAATTTAAATAACGAACTTATTTAATCGTTTTCTACATCAATTATGTGACACCAAATTAAAAAGGCAAAGTGACTGGTAAAAAGCGCCCCGACCTTTCCAAATTAGGGATGTGGGGTTGCATATTCACCATCGCGAATAAATATAGGCCTATATAGGCATATTCACCATCGCGAATAAATATAGGCCTATATAGACCTAATTTCGTCCTGGGTGCCGAAATAGATCGCTATTCCTTTATGAAAGTTATTAATTACTAGGTACTTTTTGATAACAGCGACTAAACATTTTGCGCCACCCCCCTCCCCCCCCTTCCTAGGGGTAGCGCAGGCCCTGCATTTATAGGCCTACAAAGAATAAATAATAGTGAAATAATTAAAATTTAGGCCTATCGAAGTTGAGATGTATAACATTATCCAGGTAAGTAAACACAAAAATAGCAGATTATTGAATGTACTGATACGCTTTTTTTGAACGATTTTTACCTCCCCCCCCCCCCGTCACAAAAAGCCAGAACCCCCCTAAAATGACGTCACACCTCATTCTACAACCCCCCCCCCCCTCAAAATTGAAGTTGAATTTTTCTTAAAACATTGATATTTTTTACAAAATCTTGTCTTAACTCTGTTAAAATAGAGTATTTTAATCAATTCCTATTAAAACAGATTTCTAAAACGCGAAATAACGTCTAAAATTCGTTCTCTAACATTGCTTTTTTTATAATGCAAAAGTGTGACGTCGCACCATCTGAACATCCCCCCACCTTCCCCCTCATCACACACCGTCACAAATTTACGGCCCCCATCCCCCTTACGAGCAGAGTTTCTTCCAGGCATCTCTTCGGGGGGGGGGGGGGGGCTTAGCCCCCCGAACAAATTTTACCGCCCCCCCCCCCCCCCCGAACGAAATGAAATTTAGATAATTTATATAGAAAATATATACTTTTAACAGTGTCCGCCCCCCCCCCCCCCCCCGAAGAAAGTCTACCACCACCCCGAAAATTTCAAGTGCCCCCCCCCCCCCCACCGAGAAAAATGTCTGGAAGAAACACTGCTTACGAGTGTGACGATATTTATGGACAATCTCTAGGCAGAGTGTAGAGTTGAGGCTGAGGAGTTGTGCCCAACCTCCCAAACCTCTAAACCTACCTCTGTACGGGTCAGCAGTGGCTGAAAGTTGTAAACTGGGCTGATAATTGCGTAGATCAGCTCGATGAGCCACGCTGGAAAAAAAAAAGCCAAATCTAAAAGCTAGTACAAACATTCGTAGCGAGTTTTACAAATTTAAATAATTAATGCATCTACTAAAATTAAATACAAATAAAAACCCTAATACTATTATTTAATTAGAAGTGTCTCACATTAATTAGATTGCAAGTATCATTTCATCACAAAAGCTATAAGACAAACACATCAATACACCAGTGTCAACTCACCAAAATAGAAAACAGCTGTCATGGGTAAATTAACTTTGGGATAGCCGTAACCCAGCCCTTCAAACTGAAATATAAAAAAAAACATCATCACTAAATCAGTTTTAATAATGTAAACATTGTTTTACACCAAGCACTTGAGCTAACATTTAGATAAATCAAACAATTAAAATATAAACTGACCAGTGGACGGAAAAACTCGAAATTGTTGATTGGTTTGTTGTCATTGATGAAATAAGCCTTCCCCGCCTGAAAAAAACATTCGTGTCAATTCAGCAAGGGAAGTCATCCTTTTTATTTTAAAAATGTAAAGTTATTTCACGATAGCTTCCCTTTACTAACGTATGATAGTCTCCCCTACAGATTTAACAAGACTTACAGTGACGCTGTTCTTCTCGTCCTTGAGAAACTCGGCCGACAGCTCGTGAGCCTGAACCAGGTTGTCCACGTGGAGGAAATCAACCAGCGAGTCCTTGGCCCCGTAGGTCACCTTGACCAGACCTTGCTCCAGATAGGACTAGATGGGACAGAGGAAAGTATCTTTGATTCAGTCGGCACATCTAATGGCAGATACATGCCAGCACTGGGGGTTTCTTTCAGGAATGCCACCCCGTACGGAGCATGCCCACCGCTCCCCCCATCCGACGAAATAGAAAACTATACACTTCAAAAAATACACTTTAGCCAGTATCCCCCTCCTCCTAATAGAGAAAAAAAATGTCTTAAAGAAAACCAGCCACAGGTAAACGATAAATTAAAGTTTTAACAAAAAAAAAAAAAAAAAAAAAAAAGCCTCCATACATTTTATCTTTCATTTTAACTACCAGTTTCTATTCTAAACTATATTTTACTTCACAATAACAGCAAATAAAATATACTCAGCGTTCTTCTTCTTCGTGCTTAATTGAAATGTGGGAAGGGATCCCCTCGAACACAATTAAGTATACGTGTCAACTGGTTATGCGGCATGTAGGCCATTTTTTTGGATTTGCTTCCATAGACTTTGTCCGACCAAGAACAAACTACAAGGCAGCAGTTGTTCGATTTTGGAGTTGACTCTCCTAACCGGCCTTATCTGCCCCAGGGTTCGAACTCCAGACTTTTCGGTTTAGCGACCATGCGCTTTACCGACTCGACCACTCATACTCAGCTTAATTACCCACGTTTATTCAGGGTACCAGTAGTTATACATTTTCTTTGCTTTTACTTTACATAATACAGTTAATACAGGCTAAAAAATTATTTGTAACGCTTCGGTTTTTTTTTTACAATGATGTTAATACAGGAAAAATAATTTTTGGTTTGTTACAAATTTGGTTTATATTTCACACAATGCAGAGTATATAGAATTTTTTTATTTTTTTTTTGGTTTTAATTTGGTTTTATTTCACACAATGAAGTTAATACAGAAAAAAAAAAAAAAACAACAACAACAGATTTAGGCACTGGCATATGTGTATTACCCCTAATTCTAGCATCGCGTGGTTCCACGCTACGGTAGTTTCTACACAGAAGACTCAATGCTGCGTACACTAATCGGAAATACCCATTTGAAAAGAACATCACCGATTAATTTTATTATCTGTTCCTTTCGCCTCTCACACCGGCCGTAAATTTTTTTTTTTACCCCGTCGATAAAATTCGTCGAATTTACCGATTGTTTTGTAGGTGTGTGTGTCTGTCGTGGGTTGACTGTTGGAAATTCATTTCATCCGTAGGATAAAAAAGAATTTGTAATCACTAATGACTGCGTGATTGTTTCCATCCCGTGGCTGCGTTCACGCGTGGTGGAGGGGCGGGGGAGGGGGGGGGGTTCGAGCACGGGTGGTCCCACGTGGGGGTCGTAAAAGTGAGCGCCCAGCCCCAGGGTGCGGGGGTGCCAGCAGGCGAGCGTGACGGGGGGTCATTAGGGGGACGATAATAAAACTCGTCCGGTTTAATTATGCAGACGACACCGAGGTGTGACGTCACGCGGGCAGACGTGACCTGTTTAATTTGGCGCTCACCGCGGGCGAAGCGCGTCAAGTCGTTAAAACGAGTTGCTGGGTACTCGAGCGGTGCTGGGTACTCTTAAAGTCACTGGACGATCAGGGGTCCCCTACCTGTTGGTCGTTGACCCCTGATCCCCTTTTCATCAATCTATTTTTATATCGATCCCAATGGGGTCGTGAGGTACAGTACTTGACCTCAATCGCGAGGAAAGACAACTCGAACACTTGTCACGCTTGAGTTGTCAGGTCACTGGAGCTCACTCAGCCGTAATGCGTACCCGGCATTATTTGGCCTGGGAGTGGTAGGGGAGTAAAAATAAGCTGGAATTTTAATCCGATCTCAACGTCTCTAATACATTATAAAAAGCATCTTTATTTTTTTATCTCTTATAGGACTCTTTAAAAATGAATTAATCACTAATTAAAACTATAAATCTACTTGTGTGGTACTACCTACGGATTTTCTCTTTTGTCATTAATGATTTAATTAAGTTTACTGGCTCTAATTAAAATAAACTTTAATTGAAAGGACTCACAAAGGACCACCCTGAAGTCATTCCTGAGTCTAGGTTTAAACCCAAACACATTAGTAAATCACTCAAGCGGAACAATGAACGGACGAGATCATCTCGCTTTATTAGCTCAAAGAGCCGTGAGCTGAGATAGTTAAGCTCAGCAAGAGCTGAGAGTTTAAATCTTTGATCACACACACCCCTTTTCTAACCCTTACAATTCCTATTAATTTCACATCGAGACAATTCGAAACTGAGAAATAATTTTCTTTGAAAGATGAAGACGTTAAGTCGACATTAAAACCAAAAGCGAAGTGCCTGTTTTTTTTATTTCCGTTCGGTGACCGTTGATGTTGACTAGTTCTCGTGACTAACGTACATTTCAAAGGTCGGTTTGACTTTTTAAGTTCACCTTGACCTTAATTTAGAATTAGCAGTGACGTCGGCGGGAGGAATGCCAGAAATAGTTTTTTTGAGTTTATTTCCAAAAACCCAATAACTGGTGGGTGGGTGAGTTAATATGCGGGGCCAAATATAGCGGCCCGCTGCTAAATACAGAGACAAGACATGAACTAAAGGGGAATAACTCAGAAAGAAAAATATTGTGTGCGGAGTTGCTTGTCCCACGTTATGTCCGAAATAAGTTAATCAGTATGGTTAAGATTATGTTTAGGTTTTGTATCTCGATTATAAATTGGGTAAGGGTTAAGGTGATATTATAATTTATTTTTAGGCGTAGGCGTATATTATGTATTAGATTAGGGTTGAAGACGATTTTGAAAATAAGTGTTTAGAGTTTGTGTTATGTTTAGGATACGTTTTGATCTTCTAGTACTAGACTGTTAAACCATATGCAAGGAAAATAACTTAGATAGCTATAAAAAGTATAAAACTAAGCAAATTAAATTCTATTTTTTTAAAAATAACATTCATGTTAAAAGTAGGAATTTATATTAATAAAATAAAATACACACTGAGACTGATACTTAAAATATAAAAGTTATAATATAATTCAATAATGTTAAAATATTATGAAAACAATAGTTGTAACACAATTAAACAAACATTAATACAATTAGACAGTTTGATTATTTCCTAAAGCCATTCAAGAAACGTAAAATGACAGATCAAAACAGGGGAAGTAACCGTTAAAATTGCGTTTCGAACTGAAGCCAGAGTTATCTGAAATTGCCCCGCATAATTCTGATTTCGCCTCGATCACCTGACGTCAGTGAACTGACACTTCGATCCCAGAGTTGTCAGAATCTATTTCCGGTTTTACGCCAGTTGCCCCCCACCTCAGTAAAAACTGGCTTATCTTTTCCTTGGTTATATTATTTGTTATTTATTTACATTTTTTAAAACTTCTGTTTATTTCAAGAAAGCGACAGGGTATGCAGATAAATAAAACAAGCCTGTCATAAAAATAATTACGTATTTTACTTCTATTGATGTATGCAATATTGTAAATGTGCGTAGAATTACGGTACATTGTATGTTCGGTGAAAGTTTATCAATAAGTAATGTTAAACCTAGAATTGAAAATTTTTTTGAAAGGTTTAACTTCATCTATTACTAATCTCAAAAAAAAAAAAAAAAAAAAAGAAAAACAAAAAGAAAAAAAAAAGTTGTCTAATTTCTTTGTTTAACATTTTGGTGATAGGGTCTGTTTCATAGGACATTGTTTACGGGACAGTAACTGTTTTACAGAGCAAAAACTGTTTCATAAAGCAGGGTCTGTTACATAGTGCAGGGTCTGTTACATAGGGCAGCATCTTCCCCTCCTCCCCACCCCCACAACAACAGACGACACATCTTGGCTGTGAGCACCAGGAATCAACACAACCCCCACGTGCTTGTCCTACTTTAACCCCCTCGTCCCACGAGTTGCAATCAGCGACCTAATTATCCACCGTCCCAGGGGCGTTAACTCTGAATACAAGAACAGCAACTCATCCAATACCTTAACACAAGGGCAGAAACTCTCTATATACATTGAGCTTTGACACAAGTGTTTAACAATACAAAAAACAAACAAAACAAAACAACCCAACATCAACCATACTACTTTATGTTAAGTAAAAAAAGCGCTAAAATGACATTTTAGTGCACCATACTAAATCTGTCCACACGGTTCGCATATCATAGCTCAAGTAAAATAATTGATATCAAATTCTCAAACATTTTTCCCCCCACAAGCCGTACAAAAAAGATCATAATAAAGTGCCGTTTTTCTTCTACTCCATTCTAAATTCCAGAATAAATGGAAGCGAATTTTTTTTAACCCTAAGAAAGAAAGCGGAAGTGGAATTATTCCCCTTACATTTCTTATTTCTATCAAACATTAATTGAGGCAGAAATTGTTGATTACGAGTTGTAAAAAAAAAAAGTAATTAATTTTGAAGAATACAAATTTAAATATGCAGCTTCCTGTTCGATCAAGAATGCGTGCGCAGACTACTTAAAACAGCCCCACCCCCTCCTTAGGGCTACCTACACTAGTTGATTTGTAAATCTAAATCCGAGCCTACTTTAATGCAATCAACACCCACCTCTCCACACCCCCACCCCCTGACTCCAACCTCTCCATTTATGATAATAGCCTTTTCCACCCCATGCGGATCATCTCAACGACAGAATCGTTGAGCCTCTCTCCGACTGTGTCGCTGAGAATAAAACCCTTTGGTGGTTTCTCAGTCAACACTGTCGTTGAAAATAAAACAATAATTAAACATGCTCTCCACAATTAGGAAAGCATAAACTGTAGGTGTTTTGAAGCTAATATTCCAGCCATTTTGTTTTGACGAGAGCTAGTCCAGATCTAGACTAGATCTACTTGATCAACGATTATACTGATGTAAAACCTACGTAAATCAAATCTACAAGATCAGGATTTACATTTAGATCTAGAAATCTACATTATTGACTAGAGACTAGAGAGAGAAAGTTAAAAGTATGCCTAGTGCGTCGAAAGTAAATGATAGAATCTAGATCTAGAAAATCTAGATCTAGAT